ATATTTTCAATAGCCTTTTCGTATCAAACATCAAATGTGGAACAAACATTCAAGAATTAAAAGCAGCTATTCCAGGTTGTCTCTCTGTTAAGATGCTAAAACCATATTCATCAGCATCCAGGTAATTTCATTATTTACACAGGTGTACCAAGTACTATGTATAAAAAAAAAATCTCAAAATTACATGTTTAGGGCTGCAATAATTAAAATAGAAAGTATTCAATTAGCAATAGAATATTTAATGAACACAAGGGAAAGACCGACTGTAGCAGGAAGAAAATTAAGGTTTAATTCAGATACTAGAAACAGACATAGAAGATGCAAATCAAAACCTCTTAAAATTTATGATGGTGAACCAGAAATGGAACAAAAAGTTATTGAACAAAAGTAAAACTATAGATTATATTGTACTTTAAAGGAAACTGTATAAATTTTACTGTTTTAATAAAATTTTTATCTCCTATTGGATTTTATTATCAAAATATATTATTTTATATTATTAATGTACTATTTTATGCTATTTTTACATTATTAATATGAAGAATATAAAACAATATTTAAAATATTCATAATATAAATATAAAGCTATATTATTTATATATCTTTAATTTTTTGAACTTTTTTACTATAATTATTTATTATAAGCATCAAATTCAGTATAATTTTATCTATAAATTAAGATGAATCATCAAACTCTGTAAGAGTAGTAGATGATAGTACAAATAAATGTATTATTAAACCTACACATTTACATTGAGAGATTGCACGATATTTGTCATAGATGAGTTCAAATTCCATATTTAAATGCTGAAATTATATTTTAATGAGATATATTCCCAGTAAATCGATCGCAAGTATCAACGATCAAGGTAAAATCTCAAGTCGCGCACTTTATTTAACTTGGAAATACCTCGTTATAATTTACTCGAGCGAGTAAAGTAGTACGAAGCATGACTAAGTGAAATAACGCTCGGAGAATAAAAATATTTAATTTTGATCGAAATGTGCATCTATTACAATTACATAATTGTATTTCTATTACAAAAAGTGAACTAGTAAAATATAGAAGAATAACTAAAATATAGAAGATAGAAATATAAAAGTCAAACTAAGTTTAACTGTTTCAAACTAAAACATGTTTATATTGGGTGAGTTTTTATTATAAAAAAATATTTTTCGTTCTATTATTATCTATTTTCTTTTCTTTACTTGAGCAAATTCTTCGTGTAACATAATATTTCGTGTAACATAATAATCTATACAACCTTTACGCCAAGCTACGTGTCTCCCTTAAAGAGTATTGATTTACAATAAAAAAAAAATATGTGCTTTTAATAAATTTAATCGAAGCGGCTGAAACGGTTCGAGAGCTTTATCGGTTGACCACTAGGTAGCAGAATAACCTTGATCGACAGTTTTGTTTAGATTTGTAGGAGTGTAGTTCTCAGTGTTTCGCACACAATCAAACATTCAGGAAAGCTCGGCATGAAGTAACCAATAAGCGATTTGCTAGTCTAATCGTTCCGACGTCATTGCATAACTCGCGTTGCTTTTTAAACCAATTATTTAATGCGCTGCGTGCAATGATTTTGCACTTAGAGGCGTTTTCCGATCGATGTCACGCGTGTGTAGTGACGCCGACCGAAAATGCGAATGGGCGTAATAACGCCGGCAAGTTCTGCAAATTGGATGCACGTCAGAACTAACCTAAGAAAAAAATTCACCGTGTTGTTTTAAGATAAGAAATTGTAAAAAAAGCATGAACCTCTATTCGTCCCCGTTTTATCGAATTTCATCGTCGATATGTTTGACGTTGTCGTTCTGGTGTGCAACGTCCGTAATAATTTACGTATAGGTTAACTCACGGCAGCGTCCATAGACGTTTACAATCTGTCATTTAGATTCGACATTTTGTAAATCATATTGTAATGTATAAATATAAATATAGAGCTGACGTTTTATTGAATATAGCACGTCTTTTGCCATGTATTTTATAATAATTACAACTCCTGAAACGTTCCTGTTAACCAATATCGGATCTTACAAATTCGAAGGTAACTAAATATGCATTTTATTTATTCAAAATTAATATAAAACAAAGATTTCATGATATCTATCAAAAAGTTTTACAAGTGTTAGATAACTCATTTGAATATTGCATGGTAATAGTGCGTGAGAATCTACTGCATTATTTTTCTAAGAATTAGTGTGATAGTGTTTTTGTCTCTTTCAATAGCTATCTCTTTTTTTGTTCTGTTCCAGCATTTAAGAATGAAATCAATTTCATTTTGGAGTAAGTTTTGAATTTGTGTATTTGTAAAATTGAAATAATAATAGAATCATTACAATGCATTTATGATTAAATGGCATGTGGTTCTATATATGAAAAATAATGTTTAAAATCAGTGTATATTGGAGTATAACCTGATTGCATTAAAAATGCAAGCCAAGAAGCGCTACTTACTATTATTTGTAACATGTGCGTTTCTTGGTTATTGTTATTTTGGCGGTTATCGATTAAAAAGTGAAAGATGGACAGGCAGATCTCAGTTGCCTTACGAGCGATTGCCTTCGTATTTAAGTCTAAATGAAGAGTTCTATGACAAGGATTTGAGAACATCAAATGGAAACCCACTTGTGTCTCAACGTATAAGACAATGCCGTATGGAGACTTGTTTTGACTTCACCAGATGCAAGCAAGGTTTCACAGTATATGTGTATCCAGTTGAAGATGTGATAAGTCCACTATACCAAAAAATATTGAATGTTATTACAGAATCAAGATATTATACATCAGATCCAACTCGAGCATGTATGTTTGTATTAGCTCTTGATACATTAGACAGAGATCCATTATCAACAGAATTTGTGCATAATCTTCCTTCAAAATTAATGCGTTTGCCATATTGGAATAATGGCAGAAATCATTTGATATTTAATTTATATTCTGGAACATGGCCTGATTATGCAGAAGAATCATTAGCCTTTGATTTAGGATATGCAATGCTTGCAAAGGCTAGTATGTCTATTTTTAGGCATAGACCAGATTTTGATATATCTATACCATTGTTTGGAAAACAACATCCAGAGCGTGGTGGAGAACCAGGTCAAGCATTAGAAAATAATTTTCCTAATAATAAAAAGTACGTTGCAGCTTTCAAGGGTAAAAGATACGTCCATGGTATAGGTTCTGAAACTAGAAATGCTCTCTATCATTTACATAATGGCAAGGATTTGGTATTTGTCACAACTTGCCGCCATGGTAAAGCATGGAGGGAGTTACAAGATGAGCATTGTCAACAAGATAATCAAGAATATGATATGTGAGCATTAAGAAGAAATAATTTGAAGATCAAACAGTTGTTCCAATTGAACCATTAGATCTATAATAATAATATTTAATCGATAATATTTAATTTAATTTATCATTTCAGGTATGATTATGAAATTTTACTAATGAATGCTACCTTTTGTCTTGTACCAAGAGGAAGAAGACTTGGTAGTTTTCGATTTTTAGAAGCTTTAAGAGCAGGATGCATTCCGGTTATTTTAAGTAATGGCTGGGCGCTTCCTTTTCACGAACGAATTGATTGGACGCAAGCTGTTATATTTTCTGACGAAAGACTGCTACTTCAAGTGAGTAAAATCAAAATAAAATTTTTTACTAGCAAAAGATAAATCATAAGTTGAACTACAGATAAATATTATTTTCTTAGATTCCAGATATAGTACGGTCTGTGTCCAATGTACATATTCTTAAATTGCGACAGCAGACACAATTTCTCTGGGAACGATACTTTTCGTCAATAGAAAAAATTGTTTTTACAGTATTTGAGGTAATATTATGAATCGCTAATATTTTCTGAAAAAACAATCGCTCTTTCAATTTTTTAATATTCTATCTCATAATTCGTAGAATATTCGCGAGCGTTTGCCATGGGAAGGTACAAGGGAAAAACTTGTTTGGAATACTAGTCCTGGAGCGTTAACGATATTACCACAGTTTGCTGATAGTCAGCAAGAACTTCCATTTTCAAAAAGTAATCCAGGTAATACCTTCACTGCCATCATATACTCGCAGTTGGGATCCACTGCTGTTCTATATCGCCTGCTTAAAAGTCTTGCGAAAAGTAAATACCTAGATAAGGTAAGTTCATTGCATGAATTGCCTTTGGTTTTTCTTTTTTATTTGTATTTGGTAATTTGTTGTGTATTTGGTAATTTACTTTAGATTATTCTAATGTGGAACTCGGACATTCCGTTACCAAGAAGACCACGATGGCAAGGGATCAAAGCATCAGTACATGTCGTTACGGTCGATGGCATATCCCAACGTTTCTATCCTCACCCATTAATCAAAACTAGTGCCATATTATCTCTAGACGAAGATGCCACACTCAATACAGATGAAATTGATTTCGCCTTTACGGTATGGCGATCGTTTCCTGACCGAATAGTAGGTTATCCAGCAAGGTCACACTACTGGGATGACTCTAAAGTAAGTCTAACATTACCCTTTTTGTCCTAATATTTCTGGTATTTGTTATATGGCCTTTTTACCATTTAAAGCGTTCATGGGGCTATACAAGTAAATGGACAAATGATTATAGTATAATTCTAACTGGTGCCGCCTTTTATCATCGTTATTATAATACGTTGTATACTGAATTATTGAGTTCGACACTTCACAAGACTGTCGAGCAATCGCAAAATTGCGAGGACATACTTATGAATTTTTTAGTAAGTCATGTTACACGAAGACCACCTATCAAAGTAACTCAAAGGAAATTGTATAAAGATACTACAGTGGCTGGAATCAGGTATCTATTACATACCTTTATTAAATTGCTACGCAGGAAATATGGTTTTCTGGAAAGGTTTCGCGTCTCCAGCGATTATTCCTTCAATTGTACAAAAGTAGTATAACAATTTTCCTTTTTAACTTTTTCTAAAATGTACACAATATTTCTGACACTAATATCTATAAGCACTCATAGCCATCTTCTAAACCCAAGTACGTTGACATTTCAATAGTTTAAAATTATCCAATGAAATCATAGATCGTGTAATCGATTTTTAATCCATCGGGTAGTATCAATTCTACGATGGTCGAGCTTTGATTGGCGGCTCGTTATTTCTAAGTTTCCGCCATTTGTAAAAATGATGTCGCAACGTGTACATTCGGTAGTTATATTTATAAATTGTTTATCTTCATTTTGTTCTTTATTTGCGTAACAAATATTGAAAATAATTGAATTATAGTGTGTTTCAAAAGTGTTTCTTTCTCTATTGTAAATTTGTCATGTATCTACTGTATGTACCATTAATAATTGATAATTCAATTTCCATTTCTACATCATTTGTGGTAAGCTGTTTTAAATTTTAATTATACATCATATAAAGCAGTACAAACGAAAAGTATATTTTTCATAACCTGTGCTTGACATTTATCAGTCATAATTATAGTTATGTCTATAATGATGGATACTCTGCGTAGCAAAGTTTTGTATTCGTGCTCTTTCAGTTTATTCTCTTATTACATGAAATTTCCAGGTCCCCGTGGAATGATCCAGATCACTTTATACAACGGCAGACGTGCATGAATACATTCGTAGCCGTTTTCGGGTACATGCCGTTGTTACGATCCAATATGAGGCTTGACCCTGTTTTGTTCAAAGACTCTGTAAGCAACTTGCGCAAAAAGTATAGGCAAATTGAATTAGTTAGTAACTAGAATTATACAGGATATTTTATCAGTTATGCAGTTATTATACCCTCGAAACGGGCATCCTATATATAGCCTCGAAATATTTCTATTAAATAGTGTGTGGCGCATATTGCTAATTGCAGCCGCGTGCGCGCGCTAGAGGCTATTCCAAATATATAGGGAACACTTACATTGTTGTAAGTAAGAAGCCATTGTGTCAACAATGGTTGTCAGGCAGCAAATTAAGAAGGTCTTTCATTCTTGAGGAATGACCATACTCTGCGCTTCGCAAAAATTTTGTACAAAGTATGGGATATCTTGTAATATTGTTCGAGTCTAATTCGAGCCACGGCGTGCAACCGTTGTTGTATAATATTGCCGTGTTCAATTGATGTACATACGAATCGTTTCATAGTTACTAATAAAATGGGAAAAATAAGAAAAAAAAAAA